GTTTCCAAATCCACAAAGGTATCGTCGATCGATCTCTGCAATTCATCGCCCAACGCCGCATCGATTTTTCCCTCCATTTTTCCACTTCCGCTCGGAAGAAATTCGATTGTCCGGATTGATGCACCGAAATGCAAAAAACAAAGAAATCGTCGATTTGTCGACACACGCGCACACACGGTTCATTTGCGGGTTCATAGAACCTGGATTCATAGTCGAACGACTTTTTGGGATGGAAGCCTGTTTTTTTCGACGAGAAAGGGTTGGCCAGAAACTGAGTGATCTAACTTTTTGAAGAAGATGAATTTTATTTCTTAATTAGAAATAACAATAAATAAGTTTTTTTTAATTATTTTCCATAGCAAATAATCCATTTCCATCGTCAATTAATTTCTTATTATATTAAAACAATAAATTATTTCAAATAAACATTGACGTTAATTCTTCCAAAAATGCTGTTTCCCAAAATTTTTCAAAATAACAAAACCAAGAATCTGAAACCAATCAAATTTACTAATAAATTATATATATGTATTATTAATTATATTATATTATATATTAATTATATAATGAACAAATCATTTTCATTGGCAATTAATTTCCTATATTAAAACAGTAAATTATTTCAAATAAACATTGACATTAATTCTTCCAAAAGTGCTGTTTTCCAAAATTTTTCATAATAATAAAACCAAGAATTTGAAACCAGTTAAATTTTCATTTACTAATAAATTATATATATATATTATTATTATTAATTATATATATATATAATTTTAATTATTAGTAAATGAAAACTTGACTGGATTCAGATTCTTGGTATATATATATATATATTACATTTCGAAAAAAGGAAAAAATTCGAAACCGCTTGAAAATGTCCAACTTTTAGAAAGAACTACTATTACCGCATCATGGAGGGAGTTTCGTCGCGCTCTCGTTCGACCAGATCGAGCGTGGACATCCACGGTTCCGTGAAGCGAGCTGAACCCTCGTCACTCGGTACACTGGGTTAGAGAGATAGTTTTGTCCCACGAAACTATCGAGGAGGGCCGTTTCGCGATGTAATTAATCAAGTTGAGCTCATCCACCACCGGCGTGAAAACGCGTTTTCCACGCGCGTTCGATGGAAAGAATCCTCTCGCTCTCTCGCTCTCTCTCTCTCTCTCTCTCTCTCTCT